GAAAACCGGTGAGTAAGTTGTTTAGGTTTGTTTTAAACGCCTTCATGTCAATGCCACATACTGTGTGACCACAAATACTGACGGTTTGAGCTGAGTTATTACTGAGCAAACCACTGCTACTGGTCATAACCAAGGGCATGCTCATTTATAAAAGTGTGTTAATCCAAATTTACTGAAACCAATCGTCATGCCTTAACCAACTCAAGGTTTCTTTAAAAGCACGCTGCACGCAATTTATGCACAAATCTGTTTCCCCCGAAGCTCGTTGAAGCCCAATTATGATGCTGATTACATACTGTTACTTCTAGCTTTAAAAAAATATAGATTTACATTGGATTGTAAGTATAAAAGACACACAGTTTTTGGATGCTTGGCTACTTGGGTGGTGTTTTCCTCCTTACCAATGTTAATCCTGCCTCCATTCAGGCCTTTCATTGCGATGTTGAAGCCCTGTCCTTCCTCACCGAGCCGGTTCGCCACTGGAACCGCACAGTCCTCAAATATCACGGCCCTGGTCGGCTGACAGTTCCAGCCCACCTGGAGGACAGATTGTTTTTAACAGCTGATTGGCTCAATTCTGCCATCTAGTGGTTGAACACCAATGTGGCGCAACTGTGAAGTCGTACCTTTTTTTCTTTTTTGCCAAAACTGAGGCCGGGGGTTCCCTTCTCCACCACCAGACATGAGATACCTTTAGGTCCTTTACCTCCAGTTCTGCACATCACGACGTAGACATCTGTGTCTCCTCCTCCACTGATGAAGGCCTAAAAAGTGCCGAAGAAATTAGATGAGCTTGCATTTCTACAGACCTTAAATGACATGAGCGTACAGACAGGTCTGAGTTACCTTTGAGCCATTCAATACGTAATGGTCGCCTTTCCGCTGAGCAGAGGTCAGAAGAGAAGCAGCATCGCTGCCGCTGCCTAAAACAAAGATCGCAGGTTGAACTTTAAAGTACTCACATGTGTGGAAGAACAACATACATGTGAAACGAATTTCTCACATAGACAGCTGTGAATAATTTTACACAAAGAACTCTGCTGTCTTTTCGCATGCAGACTCACCTGGTTCAGTGAGACAATAGGAGGCAAACTTCTCCATAGAACAGAGATCAGGACAAAACTTTTCCCTTTGCTCTTTATTGCCATAGCTGTCTATCATCCAGGCACACATGCTGCAAAGATAAGGAGGACAGAGGAGATTAACATGCAAATAAATAAATAACATACACTCACTGGCCACTTTGTTAGGCACACCACTTCAACTGTTTGTTAACACAAATATCTGATCAGCCAATCACATGACAGCAACTCAGTGCATTTAGACATGAAGACACAGTCGAGTCGACCCAGTGATGTTCATACTGAGCATCAGAATGGAAGAAATGTGATTTAATGATG